GGAGGAGGACAAGCTAGGTGCGCTAGCGTCACATCTGACGTCCTGCCCCTTTTCCCACCCCTTACCATTGCGTATATATCCTATATGTTCGAACAGCGAGATGTCGAGCAGGGCAATGATTCCAGAAAAGTACGCGATGGGTGGAAAAGAATTGCATCGAAGAGCACGGTAGAGCATAGCACAGCGTGGCATAGCGTGGCATTGCGTAGTGAAGCATTGCATCACAAAGCATAGCAACGCAAAGCACGCATCGCACAGCGGTGCGCAACATTGCATGCCGTGGCATGGCACCGGATGACTTGGAGGGTAAGTGGCCCGTTTACGCGAGGACAGGGCCTGTCGGGAATGCTTGCTCCATGTCCTCCGCAACCGTGCTTGCCCGATGTGGGCGCTTTCGAATGCCAAGTGCAGTCTGGTAGGGGTGTTGTAATGCAGGCTTGAAGGAGGTCAGCGGGAGGCGGGGGCGCGGGAACGAGGCCAGCGATGCAGCGGAAGCACAATTTTGAATGACCGAAGCGCGGAAATGAGGACGGCGTTGCAGCGAGAGCACCATTTTGGAAGAACTTGAAACGACCAGATTGAGCCACGACACATAGACAAAAAACGAATCATGGAGTTTTGTGGGTTGAAAACACTACGCGGAGAGGACAGGACACTCTCGGGACAGAGTCAGGGGAGAGAGGAAACTAGTATTCATATCGTGCAGTTGTGGAGGAGGAGGAGGAGGAGGAAGTGGAGGAGCAGGAGAGAGAGAGAGAGAGAGAGGGTGCGAGGGAGTAGAGGAGGAGGACGAGGGAAGGAGAGGAAAAGCGAGAGGAGGAGGGGGAGAGGGAGGGAGGAGCAGGATTTTCCTCCTCCTCCTCTTCCTCCTCCTCCTCACCCTAGCCTCCCATGACCCTTCCTGGGTGGTCAGTCCCGCCAACCTGTTCATATAGCTGTGCATTGGCTGCGTGGACGAGAGCCAGAAGTCGTCGTCGCCGTCGGCCCGTGAGGTCTCGGAGGAGGAAAAGATACCGATACTGCTGCTCGTCCTTGAGATCCCTCGTCACCACGGTTGGACATTCTTCGAAATTCGCGTCAGATTGCATCCTGGAAGAGGTGCGGGGAGACGCGGTGTAGGTACTTGTTTGTCCACCCCCAACATGTCCGAGGTTTGGGGCGGCCCCCCCGCGGAGGTGCTTCTTCGAGGACCGCCCAACCCACCCCGAGCCATGACCACCACTCCCGAATTGGTGATCCAGGCTGGGGGTTGGTGGCCCAGCCCCCAAAAGCCACCCCCAGCCTCAGTCAGAACCACCTGGATCACCAATTTGGGAGTGGGGGTCCTGGCCGTGGGTGGGGCTGGTTTGTGCTGTCGTCGTTCAGACTCCCGGAAGTTCAATTGCGGGGAGGGGGCCGGGCGTGGCGAGGCACGGAAGTCTGGACTTCACGCAAGTCGGGACTCTTTTCCACGCCCCCTCTCGGCCCGGCGTTCTTTGAAATGGTGGTGGGGAGGCCAGAACGCAGATTGAGAACAAACGCGCGCGCCGACCTGTTTTGCCCACGATTCGACCCGCCGAGCGACGTCTCCGACGCAGACGTCGCCGACGACGAGCGCGCGAGGTCTCCTACGCCATCCGGCGGCCGATCCTCGGCTCCTTCGAGCAGTCGGCGTTCCTGCTGAGGCCCGAGTCCGGCGTGTCCGTGCTGTGGGTCGTCCACGGCGGGGGGGGGTAGAGGGGCGTTTGGTAGTCCCCAAACGTGGTGGTGACAACACCTGGCGGTGAGTCTCGGGCGATTTGGTGTCACCACCCGGTTTGGGGACTCATGCGGTTTTCCGAGGATGTCCCGAACATTGGTGGGTCCAGGAGTCACAAAACCCAGTGGTGACCCCGTGTCCCCAAACCCAGCGGTGACCTTTTTTGGGATTCCAGGTCGCCACCTGGTATCTCACCACCTGGTTTGGGGGTTCCCAAGGCGTGCTTCGTCCCAGGAGAGGGGGGTGATGGGCCGAGCGAGTTCGTCTGAAGGAGTCATGATGTTCGTCGGAGGTGGACAGACCTCCTGCCCTGACGCGTCGATTGAGGAATCGGCCGTTTTCGGTTCGCGAGAGGGCGTCGCGGCCGTCATTTTTGGGGGTCCAGGTCCGTTGGTTTCGGTTGCAGGCTGTTTTCATTAAGGGGAGGTCTACTAAAGGGAGGTTTGTACACCGCCGAATAATGTTCGAGCGAACTCCAGTGAGGAGTTCACTAGAGAGGTGTCGTGACAAACTCGGGCCCCGCCCGTACCTCCAGTGGAGAATGCGCAGGAGAAGTTTCGTGGCAAGTTCGTGTTTGTCTCGGGGTCCAGCTAGTGGCGAAACTGGCGATTGGGTACGTGCTGAAAGGACCCTAAGCGTCACCCGCTGGAACTTCTTGTGTTGGCCGAAGCCTGGTCCGCCTCTCGGCGCTTGTCTTATATTATCTTATCCCTCCTCCCCCGCATTCCTCACGATGGGGCGAGATCCCAACGGGACTGGTGAGATCTCAGCCAGACCGGTGAAATCTCAAGGTTACGCACAGGCAATTCGGACGGGGAACGGGCACGAGCGACTCTGTGTAAGGTTGCATAAGTCACATGATCATGTTGGTCTTTCGAACCGACGGGGCATCTCCTGAGGAGCTCACACGGTGTTTATCGTGCGCCGTTGGAATCTCAACCATCCAGTCGCAGTGTTGCATTGAAGTCTAAGTGCTGAGAGACGGCCTAATATGGCTTCACAGCGCTCCGAGATGGCCTCAGGACCCCAAGATGGCGCCAAGGGGCCTTCCATGAGGGCCTGGCGACGCCCAAATCATTCGCCTTCGCGAGGGTTATTTAATGGTTTTCGCGTTCTCGCCGTTTCGGGTGTCCGATTGCCTCAGAGACCTCCAGGATCGCCCCAGATGTCTCCAGAGAGCTCCGTGCCAACAGGCCCCAAATAGGACCCTGCGACGGACCAAGAAGGACGCAAGACGGCCCACGAACCATTTCAAACGGCCCCAAGACAGCCCAGGGGATTTTCAAAACGACCCTAAGCGCCCCAAGAAGGCACACAAGACGGCCTCCGAAGGCTCAGACAGGCAAAGGGTGGCCAAAGGTGGTAATACAGCGACGATATTGCGACTACAGGGCGCCTATAAGGCGTAAGGCGCTCATGAGGCGCTTACGAGGCGCCACCTAGATGGTGCTTATGAGGCGTTTGTCCGCCAACCCCCGCTTGCCGGGAATTAGAAGGCGTGTGAATCATTTAATGTTTGGCTGTCCCCCTCCCCCTTTACCCCCTCCCCTTGGGTCCAACGTCCCGTTAGAGGAGTGGGTTTGCACAAGTTCCCCGGCGCACCAAAATGCCTAAGATGTTTTCCAAGATGGCCCAAGAAGGGTTTCCATGCGCCGGAGAAGCCCCAAGACGGCCGCAGAGGCCCCCCAACAGGGCCCGGCGATGGCCCAAGAGGGGCAAAAAGGCCCTCCAGGGGGCCCTAAGAGGATTTCTGGGCCTCCCAGGTGGGGTTTGGGGTCGGATGATCGCGCCGCATCGCCGATGCATCGGCGATGCGTCTCGATGCGGAGCCCGATTTTCCACACGCCGACGTCGCCGATGCATCGCCGATGTCGCCAGTGCATCGCCAATGCAACACCGATGCATCGCTGATGCGTCGGCGATGCGGCGCGATCCTCCGACCCCATCTACTCCGACCCCATCCAGGAGGCCTCTAGGATTCGGATTCGGATTCGGAACGATTGCAAAGCAATATCCAACACCTACAACTTGGGGGAAGATTCCTTTCGAACGTCGAGAGGCATTCCCTCCGCTTCTTAGTGAGTCGCTGGGGATCGCATTCGGATGCTAGGTCACGGAGCTGCACAGCCCCTGAGCAGCCACACGCTTTGCAAATCCAAGCTCTCGAAACGACATTCAAGCACACTGCATGACTAGGATGTGCCCGCCCCCCTGCCAAATTAACCGGGACCCCGAGGCTGATAGAGGTCCTGGCATACGTGCGCAGGGAGGAAGCATGGAGATCCGAGCCAGATGATTCAGGCGATCGCAAACATGGATCAAGGGGGCGTGGATTAGCGACGGGTCCCGTTTCCATGGGAGATCGCAGATTTCCGCCGCTGAGCGAGGCCACGCCGGCCGCATTTTGGGGAGGGCCCTTCCCCCGATCCATGGAATTGGCGACCGCGCGCCAGATCCATGGATCGCTAATCCATGTTTGAGCGCCCCCGAATGATGCGCCCCGCCTTGGCTCACGAGTTGAAACACTGCGTGCACTTCAGCCCGTCCTCGGCCGACGAGAGCTACCTTTTATGCGCCCTTCCGAGTGGCTGGCGCATTTGGCCGAAGGTCATTGGGAACCTTTCAGAAGACCCAGACCTGCTTAGTTTCTGGCACGCCGTGCACCCTTGTGGCAAGCCGGAGGGGGCGGCGGATGACGGAAAGCGCACATAGCGTGCAATCCGTGAGTCGGACGACATGAATTAAGAGGGGGAGTCTGAGGGGGTTGGCAGGCGGAGGCCCAGGGATCTATTATAGCCCAGGTGGGGGGGTCTCGCTCGAGGCACCCTCTATGAAAGGTCAGATGTCCTGGGATCGCTCTCGGAAGGTCTCAAGGCGCTCCAACATAGCCCAACAACATGGCCCTAAGCCGCCCTAGATGAGCCTGCATCCTCCAAGGGGTCGGGGGCGTCCGAGAGGGGCGGAAGGACTACGGTGTGTGTGTGTGTGTGTGTGTGTGTGCGTGCGTGCGTGCGTGCGTGCGTGCGTGCGTGCGTGCGTGCGTGCGTGCGTGCGTGCGTGCGTGCGTGCGCGCGCGCGCGCGTGCGCGCCAGTGTGCGCGCGCGTGCGTGTGTGCGTGTGTGCGTGTGTGCGTGTGTGCGTGTGCGCGTGTGCGTGTGTGCGTGTGTGCGTGTGTGCGTGTGAGAGTGTGTGCGTGTGTGCGTGTGTGCGCGTGTGCGTGTGTGCGTGTGTGCGTGTGTGCGCGTGTGCGCGCCAGTGTGCGCGCGTGTGCGTGTGGCGTGTGTGTGTGTGTGTGCGTGTGTGCGTGTGCGCGTGTGCGCGCGTGTGCGCGTGTGCGCGTGTGCGCGTGTGCGCGTGTGCGCGTGTGCGCGTGTGCGCGTGTGCGCGTGTGCGCGTGTGCGCGTGTGCGCGTCGTGCGCGTGTTGCGCGTGTGCGCGTGTGCGCGTGTGTGCGCGTGTGCGCGTGTGCGCGTGTGCGCGTGTGCGCGTGTGCGCGTGTGCGCGTGTGCGTGTGCGTGTGGTGTGCGTGTGGCGTGTGCGTGTGCGTGTGTGCGTGTGCGTGTGCGCGTGTGCGCGCGTGTGAGTGTGAGTGTATGTGTGTGTGTGTTTGGGGGGGAGGGGGGGGGGGGGGAGGGGGGGGCGAGGGGGGGGAGGGGGGGGGGGGGGCGGGGGGGTGGGTGTGGGTGTGGGTGGGTGGGTGTGTGTGGGTGTGTGTGGGTGTTGCTCTCACGACCAGGGGCATGAAGCCTCCCCTCTCTCATGGTTTTTTCCTGTTCTTCTCTCGGCTCGTTCCCCGGGTCCCCCCGTCGCCCGTGCACACGACCTGGGGCGTGCTGCTCCGACCCCCAAAGACCTGGGGGTCCTCCACCTCCTCGCCCTCCTCCTCCTCCTTTTCCTCCTCCTTGTCCTCCTCCACCTCCTCCTCCTCCTCCTCCACCTTCTCCTGCTCCTCCTCCTCCTCCTCCTCCTCCTCCCTCCCTTCCAGGCCCATCCTGAAACAGATCCTGCCCCAAAGACTGTCATCACCTTTGCGGGCAATGATTACATCCACATCCAGTGCGTCGTGGCTCTCTTCCCCAGAAACCGTAGACGCACTGGACATGGATAAAAATCTGGCCCCAAGAGGCTAGATTTTATCCATATCCAGTGCGCCTCGGCGTTGCGGCACCTCTTCCCAAAAAGTCCACGACGCTCTGGATATGGATATAAGTACTGCCCGCAACCTTAGCTCCGTTCCGATGCTGTGGACTGGCCCCGTTTCTGAGGGCACGTCCCTACGGTTGTCGTCGCCTGCAGGCCTGCCAGTCCCAGGGACAGGAATGCGACCGAGGTCTCTCCGAGATCCCCCTCTTCGGCGCACCCAGCTCTGGATGAGCCCGCATCCACCCAAAGGTGCACGGAGCGTGCAAGACGGGGGGGGGCCAGCCCGAGTATGCGCGGGGCGAGTGGAGGCGGGAACGCGATGCTGGCGACGGATTGGCTGTCCATCCTGGACGGCGTGCTGCGGCAGATACCACCGATCGGCATCGGCTTCCTGCTGGTGGACTACCCAGGACGCGCGTCCAACATCGATCCGGTCGGGTCCGCCTCCGCGCGGTGGTAAATCTCAACGAGCGGTTTGGGCCAAGCTTCAGTCTCTGGGGGCCCTCCCCGGGCCCGGGGACGTCAGCAAAACGACTCGGGATGAGAATATGGTCCCAGGGAAGGGTCCAGACCTTGGGGTGTCGACGCTGTGGGAAAAAAAAAAAAAACACGACTTGAGTCCGATCGGGCCGTTTCGACACCTATGTATGCCCGCCCGATCCGATTCGATCGCGGTATTCCGACGATCCGTTTGCGGCCCAATGCTGGATGGTGTCCGGCGGCGTGGTAGAGGAGAAACGAAGGGAATAACCATACAATGTCGGTGAAGTGCGCGGATCTCTTGGAGATGGGCCCCCTTTCTGGACGCCAGGGCGGCGCCAGAGGCGACGCCATGGGGGCCCAGTGCCGACCCAGGAGATGCGCGCGGACCTCTGACAAACGGTATGTATGTAGCTTGTTCTTCACCGAGCCGCGCCTTCCGAGCCGCCACCGCCGCCGCCTGCCACCGCGCCGTCGACGCCGCCGCGCCGGCGCACAGCCGCCGCCGCCCCCGCCGCTGTGGCCGCCGTAGCCACCACCCCGGGCCGCCGCCGCCGCCGCCGGCGCGCAGAGGCTACGGGCTCAACGCGGGCCGCCCCTCGCCCGGCGCGGCGCTGGCCGCGAGCCAGGCCGCCGTGGCGGCCGCGCTGGCGGCTCTGCAGGAGGCGCCGCCGATGCCAGCTGTTTAACGGGCGAAGAACGGTATAAGATAAACTTTTTTCGCCGTCGGGGACACCTGCCCCAGGGCGGCTGGAGGGTTTCTGCCCCTACGGTGCCACCGCAGGGGCATGAACTTTCCAGCCGCCCAGGGGCAGGTGTCCCCGACGGCGAAAAAGTTTATCTTGTACCGTTCTTCGCCCGTTGAGGCGGTGGCGCCGCCTCGCCCGCTTCGACGGCGGCGGCGGCGGCGGCGCGACGGCGCTATGGCGGCTGCGGCGGCGGTGGCGGCAGCGGCGGCGGCGGCGGCGGCGGCCCGGAAGGGGGCCTGGGCGCCGGCCTCGCCGGGAGCTGCCAGGAGGGGAGTATGTTGTCGAAGGGGCCCCAGGGCACAAATTAATACACACAAATGAAGATATTCCCCATCTTTTCGTATATTCTTCTGGGTTTCTGTCTTGCCCACCGCCTCCCATATGCTCCCATATTTTCCTGGGAATCGACGATTCATTGTGTCTGTGTGTTTCTTTCCCTCCTGAGTTGTAAGGATTCGGAAGAGGGTCTTGGTCCTCGGAGGCGCTCTCGCCTCGAGGTGGTCTCCAGCAGCTGCGCCTTGCCGAGAGCCGTCCTGGGAGGGCCCAGGTCGTCCCGAGCGGCCACCAGCGGCCCGAGCTGATGCCCGAAGGCCACAGGACAAGGGGTGTGTGGATGGGCTATGGTCGGGCCATGGAATCTCCCAGATTTCATGGCCTTCTTGTTTTTTTCAGGAGGGGGAAAAACACACAGACACAATTAAGCGACGATTCCCCAGAAATAATATGGAAATATGGGAAGTGGGGGGAAGACAGAAACCCAGAACAAATGGGAAGCTATGGCGAATATGGTTATTTGTGTCTATTTATTTGCGTGTCCCAGTTCATCTTCATTCTTGCAGTGCACTCCTTGCCCGCCCCTCGTCCGCGCACGTGCCTCGGGCGATGACGCGCTGACCCCCATCCCTCTTCCTTGCCCCCTCGTCGGCGCACCAGACCTCGGGGGCATGCGACGATAATCGGAAGCTGGAACATATACATCACCAGTGGCGGGCTGTTTTTCAATCCCAGGACCTTTTGAGGGTCGGGGACGACGTCGGGGTCGTGTGGTGTATACTGGTTTCCGGATTTTCCAGGGGGAAACAGCGACAAATGTGTACACATGTAGATCCCGTATACACCAGGATCCGCTTTCCTATGCGAGTTCCGGTGCGGAGCCATAAAAAGTTTCGGTGTATAGAGTTCGGTTTCCTAGATAACGACGGCGAGGATGGAGAAGTTTCTGGGGAGCCAGCGACCAGGGAATCGCTTGCATTGCACGTTGTCCAACATGCAATGGCGTTCCCTGGTGTAGTGTGGTCACGCGCGGTCTAATCTAGTATGACCTGGCGTAGTGCCTTGTCGATCTTGCGGACATGTGGGCATATGGGTATGCAAAGTCGGCATTGTTGATAATTACGATATGCAAGAGTGGTGTTTCACCTTCTTGTTCGTCATGCGATTGCCCGCTTTTGAATGATTGTCACCAGCATCCGTTCAACCTCCATGGAAGATGTCGTATGTCTCGTGTTGTTTTACATGTACTGCCACTTTTTGATATCTCCCTTTCCCGCGCCTCCTTCTCATTGTTATGTGCAGCAGGCCACCTATGTGTCCGCAGTCGGCCCTGGCAGATCTGCTGATGCATGGGTGGCTTGCTCTCCTCTGGTTCGATCTGCTCTGGCCGTTTTAACTTGTTCCGTGTTGGCTCAGTCTCTTCGTCAGGGGTAGGGGTGTGCTAAGTTGTTCGGCCGATGCCTAAGATATTGTTTGGCATTGCACTTACAGAACAGATGCTGCATGTTGCGTTGTGAAAGGATCTGGTCCGTTGAAAACGAGTTTTGGTGGGAAGTTCAGGGCGGAAGAGACGCGACAACAGAGGTCGGAATAGCCACACACCATTGATATCATGATTTCTTAGGCTAGCCTCTGGTGAGAAGGAGGTTTGCGGGAGGAGCTTACATGTCGATTTGCATTTTCACATGTATTCTGGATTTGCATGTTGGCGTGAATTGCGATGCGCGCTTCAGTGTGCACACCGGTGGCAGTTGTATGGCAGTGCATTGTTTCCTCACGAGTGCTTGCACTCGGGGTCCCTGGTTTTGTTTTAAGACGGGCCTGTCCCTCTACAGGGGAACTGCTCAAGAATAGTCCAGATATAGTCTAGGGATGATGTCTCGACCATTTTTGCACATATTTTGGGTGTATTTTGGGGGGTGTTTTGAGTTTTTCGTCCACGATCCGCCTGTAGGTGGACAGGCCCGGCCTAAGTCTGCTCCTACGACGAACTGGACGGGCCCTCCCGGCTTACGGCGGGAGCCCGCCCGTGGTCGCCTCCGTGGGCGCTCGTGGGCGCCTCCTCCTCCCTCTCCCTCCTCCCTCCTCCTCCTCCTCCTCCTCCTCCTCCTCCTCCTCCTCCTCCTCCTCCTCCTCCTCCTCCTCCTCCTCCTCCTCCTCCTCCTCCTCCTCCTCTCCTCCTCCTCTCTCCTCCTCCTCCCTCCTCCTCCTCCTCCTCCTCCTCCCCCCCCTTCCCCCCCTCCTCCTCCCTCCTCCTCCTCGCCCGCCTGCGGGCGCCTCGTGGGCTCCCCCCTGGCTGGGCGGGGGGTGTGCGGGGCCTCGCCCGCTGTCGAGTCGGGCCTGCCCCTCGCACTCGGGCCGGACGCGAGAGGGGGGGGGACAGGGAGAGGTCGGGGGTGGACAGACCTCCTGCCCTGACGCGTCGATTCGTGATTGGTCCGTTTGCGGTTCTCGAGAGGGCGCCGCGGCCGTCATGTTCCAGGCTGGCGCCCGCCAGGTTTGGGCCCGAGGTCGCTTTCGCGAAACCACGTTTTACTAAAGGGAGGTCTGTCCATCCCCGAAAAGGGAGGGTCACGAAATCTGCTGCATGCAGCTGGTTTCGGCCCCACCGAGGAGCCCAGTCCTCGATACATGGCCGCCTCCGGCGCCGGGAGGCGCCGGGAAAATCTGCTGGGTGAGCCGATTCTCAACCACCCACCCCTTTGTTATTCCCCCCTTTCGCCCGGCCCGAGTTAAGTCGGGCCTGTCCCTCTACAGGGACGATTTTTCTGCAAGTTGTTGCCCATTTTGGGCTCTTTTGGGCCTCCTTTTAATTTTTCGTCCAAGATCGGCCTGTAGGGGGACAGGCCCGACCTAAGGATAGTTACTGAGGTTTCGCTTGCTGCGCACCCGTGGGCCCCTCGCGGGCGCCCCGCGCTTAAGGGGTATACCGAGGTGTCGCTTGGTGGGCGCCCCAACAGACTGCACCACGTAGATTTATCACTTGCACCACGCAGCTTGCACCACACAGCCTGCGCCGTGTAGCTTGCACCACGACTGCACCGCGTAGGTTGCACCACAGCTTACACCACACAGTTTGCACCATAGTTTTTTTCACCACGTAGCTCACACCGCATAGCTTGCACCACATAGCTTGCACCACATTGCTTGCACTAAGTAGCTTAGGCCACACAGCCTTGACCATATAGCTTGCACCACGTATGTGACAGTACATAGATTGCACGTCAAAACTTCCACCACCAAGCTGACACCGCGTATGCTTCACCAGTTAACTCGCGCAACATAGCTTGAACATAGCTTGCACCACATAGCTTGCACCACGTAGAATGTCACCACAATGCCTCCACCAGATGGATGCTCCACATATCTTCCACCGTGCACGTCCACTATGCAATAGCTTATGATGTGGGATACACGCTCGGTCATTCATTGTTTTTTCACATTATGAGTGTGTTTCGATGTGCATGTCGAGTTGTCGATCTTCGAAATTTGCGCGACAGCTCCCGCGTTCATCTTGAGCTCGAAAAAGGGGCTCGATGACAGTGGGTCCTTCACGGGTCTTCCCCCGCCGCCCTTCCTGCGCTTGGGCGAAGCCGCAGCCCAGAAGGGGGCTCCTTCCGTCTCCGCAGATTTTTGTGGGAACATTCTGGTTCCACAGCCGGCAGGTCGGGGCTGTTTGATTGTGAAGGCCTGACGGCCGGTGCCGCCGACCCTGAAAGACATCGACGACGACCAGGAGGGGAGGAGGACGAGAAGGAGGAGGAGACGGAGATAAGGAGGAGGAGGAGGAGCAGGAGGAGGAGGAGGAAAAGCACTCCCTCCTGGGACCCCTCCCCCTGGAGATGAGGACCGAAGAGTCCACTCCTTGATTCCTCGGCCTTCTTGTTGTCCTCCCCTCCCCTCTTGCCTTCCACTCGCGAGTCGAGCGGACACGCGGCCGCGTCCCCGGGTGTCCCGCCTCGTTCTTTTGTGTGGACTGCTCGAAGCAAAATTCTAGACTTAAGTCGGGCCTGTCCCTTTACAGGAGGAATATTCAAAAATAGTCAAAAATAGTCGGGGGACGATGTAGTGACTATTTTTGAGCATTTGGAAATATTTTCTCATATTGTTCATTTATCGTCCAAATTCCACCTGTAAGGGGACATGCCCGACCTAATTCTAGACGCTTGGCCTAACCCCACCAGCCCTCAGCTTGCACGGCGTTCGACTTGTCTTCGCGCGCCCGCGTCCCAAGAAGTAACCCCACCAGCCCATCCAGAACGATGCCCAGACGAGTTGCCCTGATCAGGGATGTGGTGGAGCGCTGCCCTGATCAGGGATGTGTTGGAACACAAGGGCTGGGTAAGACGTCATACCCCAAGAGGGGGAGGATGGATGAGGAATCGGAGGAGCAGGGGAGGAGTAGGAGGGGGAGGAGGTAGGAGGAAGGAGGTGAGACATAGGCGGATGAGGAGGAGGAGGAGGAGGAGGAGGGCGAGAAGGCAGGCCAGAGGCTTCATGATGCCTCTCGGAGTCTCTCCGGATGGGCGTCTCGGGGGCTCTTGGGAGTTTCTTGGAGGTATCGTTGGGGCCTCTTGGGGGCCTCTTGAAACTTCCTGGGCACCTCTTGGGGCCGTCTTGGGGCACCGTTTGGAGCCTCTGGGGCCATCTTGGAGGAGATCAATCAAATGAGGGGGCTCATCCCCTCCCCCCCTGGAGACCAAAATGTCGCCAACTCGAGAAACATATTATTTATTTGGGCCTTCTCGCCGAGGCCATCGTGGACGCTCTCACGCCCAGTCCAGGTTCAAGGGGGGGGGGGGGCAAGTGGGAGGGGTGAACCCCTCCCCGAAGGGGAAGAAGGGGGGTGTGGAAGCAGAAACTCCCTAAACCACTCATGCCTTGAAGGGCTGGTGGGATTATTGGTTTTCTGTGACGAGGCGAAGTGCGACGATGACGACCAAGAGACGGATGGCGAGGCCACGGACGAGGAGTGGAATGGTGCGTTCCGGCTCCCTTCCCCGACACCAGTGGCTTGCCCGGTAGGGCCCTGTAGCCGTCTCGAGCCGCAGGCGGCCCGCACGGAGGCAGTTTTTCCGCGCACGCACCGAGGCCCTGCCCGGGCCCAGGAGCGGCTTCACGCGAGAGTGCCCCCCCCCCGCAGGAGTTGGCCTCGTGCGCGGGCCCAGAGAGAGCTCAGCGTACGTAGGGAAGGGTGCCCACACTGGCTCGTCGTCGTCGTCGTCACCGTCGTCGGCCGGGCGGCGGCGGGCTCCCGCCACACCGCCACCTTCCCATCGTGGTCCTTCTGCCGGGCCTCCTCGAGGGCCCTCGTCGCCCAGGCTGCCTTCGCCGCGAGGTCTCGGTCGGAGCACACTCCGGGAGAGGTCCGGGGGGCAGCGGCAGCGGTGCCTGTTGGCTTCGCCGAGGGCCGCGCACCGGAGGCGCGCGCCGGTGGGCGCAACACCGAAACGCTGGAGCATGAACCTCGCTCTCAACGGCAGTGCAGCCGGCGCCGAGGCGAGAGCGCCAGAGTGGATCGAGGGGGTCCAACAATGGTCATTGCTTAGTAATTGTCCTGCTCCGAGCGATCCCCGCCCAAGAACGCGGGGCGGGATACCGAGGGAGTAGCGGCACACTTTGGGCCTCGCGGCCGCGGCATTCAACCGTCTCTCGTCGAAGGCACGAGGCGGGATATCCAGGGACCACGGGCACGTTTCCTTGTCTGGCGGCCGTGCTGTGCAGATCGTGCAAAAAGCAGGTCGGGAGCTCTCTCGCGCATCTGGCAGAACGGAACCTCCTGCGGCGTGGGGGCATGAAGAGCCAGAAGCACCAACGACCAGTGGCCCCGCATTGGCCGGCGCGCTTGGATCGGGCCTCCCCACGGCCCGCCAGCCGCACACCAGGGCCGCGCGTCGCCCTGGCGTGCAGCCGACCAGATTGTGGCAGCCGCCGCCCCCCCCCCCCCGGGCCGAGCCAGAGGGGCGCCTGCGCCCTCGGGAATGCCACGTCTTGGTGCCTGTCAGGCGGCGACCCCGGGAGTCTCGACCTCTTAAGCAGTGGAGCCTGTTTTTTTGGATTCAGGCAAGTTTACTTGCATGGCGTTCGCCCCCCCCCCCCCCCCGCCCCCCCTCGCCCCTCTTCAAGCGAATACTAGCGTGCAATGCCTTTCGACTTGCGTGATTTCCGCGCCCCCCCCCCCCGGGCTTGCTTCAGGCTCAAGCCCCCCCACCCCCGTCCAAGCAAGTAAATTTGCTAGAGCCTAAAAAAAACAGGCCCGTGGCGAAGCGCCCGGGCTTGTCTTGAGGCCCACCAGAGAATGCTCTAAGAACCCTCTGCTGTTTGCACGAAATCTGGTTAGAGCATGTCCTGGTGGGGCTGTCATGTGTTCAACCACTAAGTTGGTGCATGTTATAAAGAAGATTGGGTTTCTGTTATGAGAACGCTCCTTTCTCGTATGGTAGGCCTATAGGCATTCAAGGACCGTCGGCCCCTGCCCATCAAACGGCATCCCCAGAAGTCTCGACCCCTTCTTCGGGGGTCGCTAGAGGTGCCCCTGTCCCAAGGTGCCCCTTGGCTGTTCGCTCAGTTTTGGAGCCCCTGCGGCCCTCTCTGGGCTTCGTGAGGGGTGCTCTGGAGGCCATGGGGGGCCTCCTCGGGGGAATCCTGAGGGCCCCCTGGGCCAGGGGGAATTTCCAGCGGCACCCGACTTCTGCGGGACTTCTTTTCCGTCCCGAGCCATTGTTGTTCGGCCCCGGGGCCTTGCGACAGGCAGCGAAGGCCGAAGTCTGCGAAATCGCGCTGCTTCGAGCGATCCCCACCCAAGAGCGCGGGGCGGGATACGCAGGGAGCACCGGCCCACTTTGGGCCTGGCGGCCGCGGCATGCAGTCGCAGTTCGTCGAAGGCACGAGGCGGGATACCCAGGGAACACGGGCACGCTATGGGCCAGGTGGCCGTGGCACGCAGGGTGTGCGAGGCGTGTCGGGAGTTCTTTTTCTTACATCTCACAGCCCCAACCTGTCTCAGGCGATCGCAAACATGGATCAAGGGGGCGTGGATTAGCGACGGGTCCCGTTCCCATAGGAAATCGCGGATTCCCGCCGCCGAGCGAGGCGGCACCGGCCGCATTTTGGGGAGGGCACCTCCCCCGCTCCGTGGGTTTGGCGACCGCGCGCCAAGTCCATGGATCGCTAATCCATGTTTGCGCGCCCCCGACTGTCGGGTGGGGATGTGTTCATTAACGGGCGAAGAACGGTATAACATAAACTTTTTCGCCGTCGGGGACACCTTCCCCAGGGCGGCTGGACAGTTTATACCCTTACGGTGCCACCGTAGGGGTATAAACTTTCCAGCCGCCCAGGGGCAGGTGTCCCCGACGGCGAAAAAGTTTATTGTATACCGTTCTTCGCCCGTTAAGTTCAATGCGTTTGAGGTCCAGGCCGATGGTGCCACGCGCGGGGCGCAGCCTGCCGAACGTGCTCCGTCCAGCGCAAGCCCTGGGCCGCTGACGGCACGCGCGGGCAGGCCCCCCGGGTCTGCCTGCTGGGCCACAGCCTCGGCTGCGCCGCCTCGGCGCAGCTGGCCGCGTCGCTGCGGACTGGGGCCGCCCTCGGGGATGTTCGGACGCAACTCCCGGGAGGTCCGAAATCTGGCTTGATCCAGCACAATCCCGCTTGCTCCCGCTGGATCCCGCCGAATCCGGCTTCATCCTGCTTAGTCCGAGGCCCACTCCGGCGTCACAGCTCCCGAATGGGGCCTAAGCCTCCTTGACCCTTCCGACGAAAACCTCCCAGTAGTTGCCTCCTAAGGGAGGGGGGGGGGGCGTCCCCGCCCGCCGGCGATGGCGGCGCCACTTGTTTCGGGATCGCTGCTGAGGAAGAGGGTGCCTTCCCAGGCATTCCAGGCCTTCCAGATGGGGTCGGAGCAGATGGGTTCGGAGGATCGCGCCAAAACGGCGATGCATCGGCGATGCGGCGCGATGTGGAGTGATTTTCTCAACGACCACATCGCCGATGCATCGCCGACGTCACCGATGCGGCGGGATCCTCCGACCCCATCTACTCGGACCCTATCTCGGGAACCTCTAGACATGCTCGCGTTGTGAAAAATGTCTGCCTTTCCAGACACGCTCCCTGAACACGACGGAACGTTGTTGGCAGTTATCAGTATTCGGAAGCCCTCGCCGAACCTCCGGACTGTCAAAACAATTCGGGTCAAAACAAGTCGGGGTGAAAGTGCGGCCTTGAGGAAAGGGCTTGGACTTCTGGGGGGCCCGTATTGGAAAAAGTCAAGGCATCGGATGTTTGGGTTCGGAAGTTCTCTTTGGCCCTCGGAGGTTTCCGAGCCCTGTGGTGCTTTCCGTCAGGTGCGCCTTCTCGAGGAGCGTCTGGGGGGGCCGGCATCGTCGCGAATGGCCACCTGAAGCCCGAGTTGCGGTTCGGAAAAAGTTCAGTTGGCACTTCGCGTCGTGAAGGCGTCACTACGTCAGAGCCCCGAATCATCAGGGGTAACTCGGGTCAGGGCTGACTCGGCTTCGTTTTACGGGAATCCGAACCCCAGTTACCCCGGGCCCGAGTCACCCCGGATAATTCGGGCGTCCAGAGCCCCAAATCATCAGGGGTAACTCGAGTCAGGGCTAACTCAGGTTCGTTGTTCGGGAATCCAAGCCCGAGTTACCCCGGGCCCGAGTTACCCTGGCTAGTTCAGGCGCCCAACTAAGGAAGGTTTTTGGGAATCTGTCTGCCCTTGGCACCCCGGCAAGGCCTGGGGCCCTCGGACAACGGCTCGCGGATGTAGGGGAAGGTGTCGCCTCCGGTAAAAGCACGTCGCCGTGAGGCAAACATGTCTTGACGGGAACGGGTGCTCAATGGCAGTCACCCTCTTCGGGACGTTGGGGCTCTCCCGGGGCTTTCAAACATCGATTTCGGGTGAAAAGTTGGTCCTGGGGAAAGCGTCGCTTCCTTCAAACGCTTTTCATACCAAGGCACTACAGAAGCCTAATTAGCCATGAATGTTATTGTGTGTTCTCGATTGCGATACTCATCTGATTGTGTCAGGTGCGCCTCTCGCCGACAGAAGTACAATGGCTAGGGGAGCGAAGGGGACAGAGGATACCGTAGAGCATTTGGGCAACAGGCAGCGACTGCAACCGCACAGTGGTGGCGATAGTGGACATTTGTGTATCGCCGATGAGTTCTGTTTCTGATGTCAGCTTGTGATTAGCAAAAGGCCAGACCCCCCGGGGTTGATGAATAGACCCCCCCGGGGTTGATGAATAAACACGCGCGCCAGGGTGGAGGAGGAGAGAGGAGGGGGAGGGAGGAGAAGGAGGAACAGGCGGAGAATGAGGAAGAGAAGGAGGAGACGGAGGAGAGGGAGGAGGAGGAGGAGAAGGAGGAGGAGGAGGAGGATGCCCGAGCGACGAAGACAGCGGCCGCTGGAAACGGGGGACGGCGGCGACGACGGCAATTGAGGGGGGGGAGGAGGACTGCCCGCTTCGCTCGGGTCGGACGAAAAGCTGGGGAGATCAAAGGGAGGGGGTGCGAAGCCTGCTGCGCGCAGCTGGTTTCGGTCGCCCCGCCGAAAGGCCAAGCCTCGACGCATGGCCGCTCTAGGCGACGTGAGCTGCTTGGCAAATCCCCCCTTTGCTGCGCCCCACTTTCGTCCAGCCCGCCGTGCCCGCAGGCCCGCATCGGCTCGACAAAAACGGGCGCCCTGGCTCGCCCTTGCCTCCCGACCCCCCCTTGCCTTTTGTTGGCGGCCGGGCGTCTGCGCCGCCAATCACTGGCGCCGCCCCGCTGATTTTCAATTTGGCGCGCGCCACTTCGCGAGTCGCCCGAGCAGGGGAACTATGTTTGAAACACGCGCCCCCCACGGATTTGTTAATCACAAAGTGGCAGTACCCGAAGTACAGGTTGTGACCATTTGAAAGAACGTTGCGCTTTGCAGTTTATCGTCGTGCTTGTTTTTGTTCCCCAGCACCCTGTGGTGTTGGATCCTCGTTTTGAAGAGACAGCGCCCCGCGTCCCTCCCCCCTCCTCCTCCCTCCCTCCTCCCCCGTACCACACCCATTTCGGCAGACGACACGCTTCGTGGCCCCATTCGGAGCCCCACCTGAGGCCCCAGTGGGAAAATTGACATGGCGGCCTCGGGCCAGTTCGGCGCACCCCTCACGAGGATCGTGGCCCCATAGGAGCTCCACCGAAGGCCCCAGTGGGAAAGTTCGCATGGCGGCCTCGGGCCAGTTCGGCGCACCCCTCACGAGGATCGTGGCCCCATAGGGAGCTCCACCGAAGGCCCAGTGGGAAAGTTCGCATGGCGGCCTCGGGCCAGTTCGGCGCACCCCTCACGAGGATCGTGGCCCCATAGGGAGCTCCACCGAAGGCCCCAGTGGCAGGGTTCGCATGGCGGCCTCGGGCCAGTTCGGCGCACCCCTCACGAGGATCGTGGCCACATAGGGTGCCCCACGAACGGTTATTTACCTGCATATGGTTAGGTCCTTCGCCAGGCTGGTGTTCATGTCTTGGTTGAGTTGCTTAGCTTGGTGCTTCCCGTTTGCATTCACATTGGCACACATCTGCGTATCACAAGACGTATACACTGGACTCTTTCGTTTCTTGGCTGACGAATGGGAAAAAGAGAGAGAGAGAGAGAGAGAGAGAGTTAGACTGGATAAAGATGAGATGCGTAATAACGTATTGTAATGGCCTCTGGCCCATGCCGCCCATCCAGGGGGGGTCCGGGAGCTTGTGCGACAAAAATGTGCGCAGCGGGCTCTTACCCTGCCTCGCTTTTTTAACAACAAATATGTTTGAAAAGCTGAGGTGGGGCTATGCGAGGATTTTCGGAGACGCCTACGGCGAATACCGCCGCCACATGCCTTTGAAATCGCCCATGTGGCCGAGCGTTGTGGCACGAGCTCTGCCAAGCTATCCGACCATGCGTCCCCCAACCGTTGTGGAAGCCCTTCGGGGAACACAAGGGAGGATGCGGTGGCAGATAGGAGGGGAGGAGGAGGAGGAGGAGGGAAAGAAGGAGGAGGAGGAGGAGGAGGAGGAGGAGGAGGAGAAAGAGGAGGAGGAGGAGGAGGAGGAGGAGGAGGAGGAGGAGGAGGAGGAGGAGGAGGAGGATGGGGCATCTTGGGGGCCTCTGCGGGCACGCTTGGGACCTCCTGGGAGCTTCCTGGGAGCCTCTTGGAGGCATCTTGGGGGCCTCCTTGGACCTCGTGAGGGCCTTCGGGGGCTTCTCGGGGGCCTCTCTGTGGCCGTCTCCGGGCATTCCCGTGCGGCGACGCCGGCCCCGAAGTGCCCCTTTAGAGGGCAGTTTTCTGCATTCCCCATTGAGGTCCCCCCCCGTGGCCACCCGGCCGACCAGACCCAGGGTAAAACGACACGAAGATCGAGACAAAATCGGATCGGGATAACTCGAAATCCTTGAGAATCGGCGGGTTTGGAGGATGTATTGGGCGCCGCGGCCGCTCCAGAGCGTTCCGGAACGCTCTGAGAGCGCTCCGGAACGCTCTGGAGCGATTTATCCCGATCCTAGCCCTGTTTTACAGGGCGGAGCTGACAAAACCACGAGCGCATGAGGCAATTCGTGCACAGTCGATTCAAGAGCTGTCCCAGCGACGGACACCATCGTTGGAGTTGTGAATGCAGTGTTGTGGCGCCCGTTTCGGTGGAGCTCCCCTATGGGCCGTCCAAAATGGGCGGCGCCGCCATGTGGACCCTGCCACTGGGGCCTTCGGTGGAGCTCCCTATGGGGCCACGAACCGGGTGAGGGGTGCTCCAAAATGGGGCGGCGCCCCCGTGTAGGCCCTGCCACTGGTGCCTTCGGTGGAGCTCCCCAGGGAGCCACGAAACATGTGAGGTGATGGGTGCGCCAAAATGAGACGGCGCCAGCATGTGGACCTTGCCATTGGGGCCTTCGGTGGAGCCATCCACGGGGCCACGAACCGTGTGAGGGGTGCGCCAAAATTGGGCGGCGCCCCCATGTGGACCTTGCCACTTGGGCCTTCGGTGGAGCTCCCCGTGGAGCTACAAACCGTGTGAGGGGTGCGCTACAATGGGCGGCGCCGCCATGTGGATCCTGCCGCTGGGGCCTTCGGTGGAGCGCCCTACGGGTCCACGAAGCGTTGCACTGGGTGCTCCGAAACACAGACATGTGGAGGGCAGAGGCAGGGATGGGAGGGTGGGAGGAGGAGGGGGAGGAGGTGAGGTGAGGAGGGACGCGGGGCGCTGCCTTTCAAAACGAGGACCCAACACCACAGGATGGTTGGGAACAATATCGGCGCGCGCGCGCGCCGCATGGAAGAGACAGGAGGAGGAGGAGGAGGAGGAGGAGGAGGAGGAGGAGGAGGAAGCGAAGCACGGGGGAGGGGGGCCTGGCGCGCAATTCACCGCCTGGCCGGGGCCGGGCGGCGGGCGCCGCCCCCCTGCGGGCAGCGGGGGTGTGCCCAGGATACCCCCAGCGCACATGGTGATCTCCGCCCCCTTCTCGGACATCCCGACCATGGAGGGGGCGGGGAGGCGGGTCAGGGGCAGCGTTGGGTGACCCAGCTCTCTCTCACTCTCTCTCTCTCTCTTTATTCTCTCTCGCTCTCCCTCTCCCTCTCTATCTCGCTCCCTCTCTCTCTCTCTCTCTCCTCTCCCCTGTCCACCTCTTCTGGGGCGGGGAGGGGAGCGCGGGGAGCCACAGGCAAGGCGGGTGGCCCTCGGGCCGCGGGGGGGGTGGAGGTGCAGATCGTAGGCAGGCCGGGCAAGCCAGGGCGAGGCACAGCTGCCAGGGGCAACGGTTGCGTTAGAGGGGGGGGGGGGGGGTAAAACAGGGCTAGGATCGGGATAAATCGCTCCAGAGCGTTCCGGAGCGCTCTCAGTGCGTTCCGGAACGCTCTGGAGCGGCCGCGGCGCCCAATACATCCTCCAAACCCGCCGATTCTCAGAGATTTCGAGTTATCCCGATCCGATTTTGTCCCGATCTTCGCGTGGTTTTAGGGGGGGGGGACAGGCTCAGGGGGGGGGCGTGTCGACCCCCAGGGAAGGGAGAGGCTCAGGGCGGTGACAGGCTCCAGAGGGGGTGATGGGCTCAGGGGGGGCAGGCTCAGGAAGCAGAGGGGTCGTGGGCCATGATCAGGGGCAGCCTTCGGGGGGAAGGGTAGCCTCAGAGGTGGATGCATCGACCCCCCGTCGCCCACTCATCGCCCGTCGGGGCCCGATAGCCCACCTCGCCCAGGGGCGTGCGGTGTCGCCATCGGGGGCCTACTGGCGATGTATCCATCGATTCCAGGTCCGTGCTTCCCCCCCCCCGAGCCGGTTCCCCTCCATCGTCCCCTTTTCAGTCGTTCCCTGTCATGCCTTCCCCCACTCCTCCTCCTCCTCCTCCTCCTCCTCCTCCTCCTCCTCCTCCTCCTCCTCCTCCTCCTCCTCCTCCTCCTCCTCCTTTGACGCCTCCCATGCATAATTGTCACATGCAGATCTGTTTGCCGATGTCTTCCAATGCAGGCGCCTCGGCGCCCACTCCGCCGCGCCTTCATGGCGCCACACGCGCGGAGCCGAGTCCGAGCCGAGCCGAGTCCGTTCCCTTTCAGTGGGGCAGGCAATCCGCGCCGCCTCGGAGACGCCGAGGCGGCTTGCTTGTCCCAGTGTTCGCGTGGGCGCTTCCGGCGGCCAGCGTCGGGTCAGGACGTCGGAGGAGCCGCGCTGCGGAACAAAGAGCGCGTCGTCGGATGTTGGTCACGCAGTGGCGAAGCGTCCTGGCTCGCCTATATCGGAGTTTGATAGACCTCCTTCCCTGATACGTCGATCAGTGAATTCGACGTTTTCGGTTCGCGAGAGGGCGTCGCGGCCGTTATTTTTGCGGGTCCAGGTCCGTCGGTTTCGGTCCCACGCCGTTTTCACTAAAGGGAGGTTTACTAAAGGAAGGTTTGTCCACCGCCGACTATAGGCCCAACAAATAGTGTTCTTAGAACATATATGGCTGAGACTGTCTTGCTTTAGCACATCGGGCTTATGTTATAAGAGCTGTGCATGTCTTATTAGAGCACGTTTGTGTATTACAAACACGTCGCGGTATGCCTGTAGGAAGGCTGAGACGGCCGGTCCCAGCTCAAGTTTGGCATTTTTTTCTTGAGCTGTTCGTATGTTCCCAGAGTCCAGCAGTGGCGAGGCTTCCTGGCTTCCCTACAGGCCCACCGAAGAATGTTCTAAGAACCGATCGTGGTTTGCACGAGCTGTTCTTTGAACATTTCTGGCTGAGACCGCCTTGGTCGAATGCATCGGGCTGATGTTCTAAGAACATTTCTGTTCTTCCGAGAGCTGCTTTCTCTCTCAAGAGTAGTTCGCGGTAGGCCCATAGTCCGGAGGGACAGAAACACACAGACAGAATCACACAGACAGAAGTGGGGGGAATACAACAACCCAGAAAGTAGGGGAACATGTGTGGGGAAAACCTGGGTTTGGGATGTATTTGTTGGTGTGTCCCTGGGCCCCTTCACCTAGGCATGCTGGGAAGGCCGGTCCCTGCTCAATCAGGGTACTGCCTCAAAAAATGCTTTTCGGCGGCTGCGCCTCGTCGGGGGCGCTCATGGAGGGTCCGGGTCTTCCCGCACGGCCGCGGGAGGCCCGAGTCTGTGGCCCGAGGAGGAGGAGGAGGAGGAGGAGAGGAGGAGGAGGAGGAGGAGGAGGAGGAGTAGGAGGAGGAGGAGGAGGGAGGGCGGGGAGGAGGGGGAGGAGGAGGAGGAGGAGGAGGAGGAGGAGGAGGAGGAGGACGACGGGGAGGCGGAGGGGGTGGATGAGCAGGAGGAGGAGGCGGAGGAGGAGAGCCGCGCGGGTGGCAATTGACGCCAGAATGGAAAGTTGCGAGTGCGATGGTGCGCTGGACCCTCCTCCAGGGACGTCTTCGTTGGCCGAGGGTCCCCAGAGGAGTCCTCGGCCCCTCCTGTGGCTACGTATTGACCCACGGAGTCTCGATGGTGGAAGCAGCGCGGGGTGGACACTGGCGGCTTGCACAGCCTTCAAGGTGGCTGGTCCCTGAACACTGTTGAAGGACAGACAGCCCACCGACGGCCAAAGGAACCCGCGCCGATGACACCTCGAGACACGTTATTGCATGTTCACAAGAATTGGCAGGGGGAAGTGGAGAGGGAGGGAAGGAGGGGAGGGGACGAGGAGGAGGGGGAAGGGGGAGCAAGAGGGGGAGCAGGAGGAGCGGGAGCCGCGGAGATCGGGAAGGGCGGCAGGCGATGCAGGTGCTCGGAGGCCCCCCGCGGCTCCGCAGCTTGTCTCTCTCGGGGAGGAGCGCCGTCCACTCTCACGAGGATGAGGAGGAGTACGAGGAGGAGGAGGAGGAGGAGGAGAACAAGTAGGAGGAGGAGGAGGTGGAATGTGGAGGAGGAAGAGGAGAACGAGAAGGAGGAGGAGGAGGAGGAGGAGGAGGAGGTGGAAGGAGGAGGCAGGAGGACGACGACAACGACGACTGCGGTGGCGGCAACGGCGGCGGAGGCGGCGACGACGACGTCAATGTCGACTGCGACAGCGGCGGCGACGGCGACGGTGACGACAGCGGCGACGGCGACAGCGGCGGCGACGACGGCGACGACGGCCACGTCGACTACACTGGCGGGGTACCTCGAGTATCAAGGTGTTGGATTGTCCGAGCTCTCTTTCTGTTGGGCCTCCCGCGGAGTTCTGGTCGCCGCGAGGTTGGGCTAGCCGCGGGATTCTGGTCAGACTGCGCCATGGGACAGGAGGGTCAAGTAGAGAGAGAATGAGTACGAGGACGAGGAGGACAGGGACGAGGAGGAGGAGCAGGTGGAGGAGGAGCGGGAGGAGGAGGAGGAGGAGGAGGAGGAGGAGGAGGCAGTCGGAGAAGAAGCATGACGACGGTGAACGACGACGACCGGGACGAGGACGAGGAGCAGGAGAACGACGACGAGCACGACGACGACGACGACGACAACGGCGACGACAACAACGATGAGGAAGGGGAAGAGGAGGAAGGAGAGGAGGAGGAAGGGGAAGAGGAGGAGGAGGAGCAGGAGGAGGAGGAGGAGGAGTGGAGGACGCACGCTACGGTCCCAACTGACCCAAGTTCGCCTAACGCAGAGGGATGAAAAGGAGGAGGAGGAGGAGGAGGAGGAGGAGGAAAAGGGGGAGGGGGAGGGGGAGGGGGAGGGCAGGAGGAGGACAACCAATATAGGTGCGCGCGTCATATCTGACGTCCTCCCCCTCCATCCCATCACTTACCATGGTGTAGATATCCTCTCTACGCGCACCGTCGGATGTCGAGCAGGGAACTGGTCGAGAGAGGGTACGTGATGCCTGGTAGAGCATGGCATGGCATGGCGTAGAAGAGCACGGCAGAGCGCAGCATGCCATAGCATGGCGTGGCATTGCGCATTGAAGCATTGCATCACAATGCATTACAACGCAAAGCATGGCATGGCACCAGGCTCCTCGGAGGGTAAGTGGATCGTCTTCGAGACGTCTGGGCCGGTCTGGAGTCGTGGCTCCATGTCTAGCTCCTTGGGCTCCCCAAAAACCTCCACACAAGGCGGGTCTGATGGACAGGACCCATTGGCTCTGCTTTCAACACCGCCTTCTCAAAGCAGAAACAGTGCTCCCGCTTGATAATTCCTGAAAGCGACGACGCCCAAATGTGTGGGGGGGTTCTGCGGCCCAAGAAACAACGAATCGACACCGAATGTGTAACCAAGGAAGGCCAGCGCTGCAGCGGAGCACGATTTGGAACGAGCGGAAGCGCGGAAAGAAGGCCAGCGTTGCAGCGGGAGAACGATAGCCCGAAAATGAGGCCAGCGCTTCAGCAGGAGCAACAGTCTGAAAAAAAGGATAATCAAACTCCTGGTAATCCTGTGTGCAAAAAACCGTGCGCGGAGGGGGTCAGACATCTTCCAGACGTCATCATGGGAGAGAGGAGAGTACTATTCATATTGCGTAATTGTGGATGCGGGGGAGGGATTTCCCCCCCCCTCTCATCTTCCTCCCCCTCCTCCCCTCTTTCCGCGAGACGTTCCCCCCCCTTCCGCCCCCACCTCTCATGGGAAATCGCAAACGTCGGCTGGCCTCGGCACTGTGCTGGCAGCAGCGTCCGGCGGCCGGTGCGGCTCGCTGAAGGCCAAACGAGTGTGAAAGAACGCAAGCAAAACGAGGAGTGGGGATGCCCGAAGGGGCAGTCCTCTGCCAGCCTTGCTGTCGGAGCCGCTTCGGCCAAGGAAGGAACGTGAGTCGGGACGAGGGGAGGACCGTGGATGAAGAAGGCAAGGAAGGAGCAGGAAAACGAGGAGGAGGACGAGGAGAAGGAGGAGGAGGAGAAGGAAGAACGAGGAGGAGGAGGAGGAGGAGGAGAAGGACGGAGGAGGAGGAGGAGCAGCAGAAGCAGCAGAGGGAGGGTGGGCAGGAGTTGCAAGAGCAGCTGCACGAGGAGGAGGAGAAAGGGAAGGGAGAGCTCTCTGCTATGCCTGCTGCTGGAGGCCCTTTCGTTGTCGTCGTCCTCCTCCTGGGGGGCTCGCTGG